GCATGGCCGTGGGGGCCAGGACAGCAGGAAGCAAGGAGCGGGTTTCTGGTACAAGTGAAAAAGGCCAAGGAAATACTACGTAGTAATGATCCCACCTCCCCTCCACTGAAGAAGCTGCCCAGGGAGGCCTCTTCCTGCTCCTTCCGCTTGTGCACAGAGCCCCTGGCCTCAGACAACAGCAGCTTCAGCGCCAGTTGGGAGGTGAGAAGACTGAGAAAACAGAAGAAAAGCAACTTAAACCAAGAAGACAGCACTGACACCAGCGCACTGAGCGCTGCGCGGAAACACCTAGCAAACAGTCGCTAACTCTCGGCTCCAGCGGCAGATCCTATTGCAGCCCCAGACGCGCATTGTGCTGGCACTGGGCTAGCTGATAACAAAGGTATTTTTATGTAATCCTTAACCAGCACCCTGGGGTGGGGGTGGGGGTGGGGGTTATCACCTCCAGTCAACATCGCCCAGCAAAAGGCATCTGGTAGTACATGGCACTCAACATGGATTTAATGGCTAATCTGACTGGGTGGATAAGAAACCAGATTCAGAGAGAATAACAAGGCAAAGGTGACCCAGTTTACAAGTGTCAGATTCAGAGTTCAGCCTCAAACTGCGTGCACACAAGCTCTCCAGGCAGCCTCTCAGGCAGCACCTGAAGGCGAGGAAGGGGTTGGGAGGGCTGACTATGTGAGAACACTGCTTCTCTCACCTGCAGCCAGCACCCCGCAAAGTTCACTTCTCCTTTGTCCTCACCCTGCTCCTGTTCCCACTGGCCACGGTGCCTCCCTCTTCTTCCACAAATCTCACTAGAAGGGGATCCTGACCCCTACCCACGGGGCGCTGGGTAGATCTTGGGTGGCCATAAACTCCCTTCAAACTGTGTGCTTTTTCCTTGGGGAAAGGAGTCATGGCTCGCCCAGATTTCATCATTTCTTCTAAGAGACTGACTGCACAGGTCTGAAGCAAAGAGGAATATGAGCTGCCCTTAAACTTACCTCCCCCCCCCCCCCCCCCCCCCGCCCAAACCTGGCCCGGTGCTCAGACACTCACAGGTGCTTACACACTCGCAGGTGTTGAATGATGCAAAGTTTAGGGGGGCACCTCCTACCCAAGGAAGTCAGTGACTCCTGGAAAGCAAGTCCCTGGAAGTGAGGACAGTGTCCGCCCAGCACAGTCTGCAGCTTCTTGCACTGGATGGATACACACACGGTGTCCTGAAAACTTACATGTAAAATCTTGTCCATCATTTTGGACAATCGGGGAAACAGTAACAAAGATTGGATTTTAAGTGATATTAACAACTACTAATGTTGTAAAGTTTAATGACATGTGGTTATGTTCAAAATGCCCTTGTTTTCTTAGAGGTACACACTGAAGAGATGTGCATTGAGGTGTCAAGGTCACGGTTTCATTTTGAAAATCTTGCACTTGCAAAAAAAAAAAAAAAGACACAGTAGGGAGATAAGAGCAAAGCAAATGTGGCAAAATGTTAATAATTATTGAATAGGAGATGAGAATATGGGGTTCATATTAGTGTTCTGTTTTCAGATATTTGAAAACTTACATATTTAAAAAAATAAAATAGCTAATTCGTGCTGAAGGCTCCAAAATCTAACAATACAGTCTTCATGGTCTTAGTGACTATATGCTCCTCACAAGATTGGCTCTCTTAAGACATAAGAATCCACAGTCGGGGCCTCCCCGGTGGCACAGCGGTTGAGCGCTGGGTTACGAAGCTGCCCGCGGCCTCTGCGGCGCCGGTTCGATCCCCGGCTGCTCCCCGGCCACCTGAGGAGGGTCCCACATGGCGCGCAGACCTCTCCTGCCACCCGCTGCTCCCCTCAGCAGTGTACTTCGGTCCTTCTGCCTGCTCTGCTCCCCGCTCTGGCTCTGGTGAATTCTCTCACCCTCCCATGCTTCTGACTGTACCCAGTGCATGTGTAAACAGAACAAACAAACAAAACAAATAAAGAAATAAACATGCCTCTATAAAAAAAAAAAAAAAAGAATCCACAGTCCCTGCACTCAAAACAGGAAGGTTTTTAGGACTATTCAGCAGTAACCTTAAGGTTCCTTCATCTATAACTATATAGTGATCACACACCTCAAATCTTCAGGTGAAGGTACAGAGAACTAGGTACCAGCAGCACAGAACACCAAATGATAAGTCACACTAATGCAAAATGTTAATAATTGGGGGGTGTGGAGGGAGGGGTGTGTATATAGGTCTTCTCTATACTCCCTGGTCGATTTTTCTTTAAATCTAAAATTGCCCTAAAAAATAAAGTCCAGGCCTCCCTGGTGGTGCATAGTGCTTCACACTATGAAGCAATCCCCAGCCTCTGCAGCATGAGTTCGATCCCCGGCCAGCCAGGGAGAAACCATATGACAAAGCAGATCTCTCCTGTCTCACCCACTGCTCCCCTCAGCAGTGTATTTCAGTCAGTCTGCCTGTTCTGCTCCCCACTGTCTCTGGTGAATCCTCTCACCGCCCCCCCCCCACATCTCTGGCCTGTATGCATAAATAAATAAATCTTAAAATAAATAAGTAAAGTCCATTAATTGTTTTGTTTTGTTTTTGTAAAGTGAAGGTACCCAGAAAAAAGCAGGGAGGGATCAACTTTTTCTTGTCATTCTTTTTAATTTCATTTGATTTTCTTTTTATTTTCTTCTCTATTCTGTTTTTTCTTCATTTGATTTATTTTTTTAACTAGTACAGGGTATTACACCAGATCCTCTAATTAAAGTCCATGCTCATAGCAGTGACAAGATACGTGATTTTTAAGACTAGTTTGAAATGAAGGGACCCCTATGATGTTCCTTTGTGTTTTTGTTTCTGACCTGGAATTGCTCCATGTTTTCAACAACAGCATGACAGCTTTCATCACTCCACTATCTACTCCAACCAGTTCCACATTTGGGAGAACCATGGGTCACTATGCAAAGTATCCTACCTACATTCTCACAAAGAGTGCATGGACAGTGCATGGCTCATATACTCGTCACACAGATGGAGAAACTGGCGCTTAGAAAGCTAAGTCACATGCCTTAAGTCAGCAGTCAGTAAGTAAACTGTACAGGCGTGTTTAATTCTGAAACTACTACTTTCAAATTCTGCACTATGCCTCATCCTGTTCTTCCCTTTTGCTCTCTCTGTCAGAAAAGTCACTCAGACATCTCAAGACCTGCAAAGACACTAGACCCAATACAGTACTTATACACAATTGCAGAACTATATTTATGGGATCACTTTTTACAAAGTCCTTTTATCAAAACATTCTCATTCCATACTTCCGGTGTGGTCACATCTTGCTCTGTGACACTGGTCACATCACTTAACTTCTTGGACTCTTAGCTGTTTATATGCAAAATGATAGTAAAGGTAGGTAACACAGTGGTTAACAATTAGGACTCCAGGCCTCTCTGGTGACACAAGGGGTTAAGACGCAACCCATGAAACTGTCTGCAGCCACTGCAGCACAAATTTGATCCCTGACCAGGGAGGTCACCTACATGGCGCAGCAGACCTCTCCTGACTCGCCTGCTGCTCCCCTCAGCAGTGTATTTCAGTGGATCTGCCTGTTCTGCTCCCCACTCTGTCTCTGGTGAGTCCTCTCACCCCCTACACCTCTGGCCTGTACCCCAGTTCTTGTATGCAAACTAGGACTCTGGCACCAGACAGCCCAGACTGCCCTGTGTTTCAGATTCTGCCACTAAGCAGCTGTGTGCTTGTTCATGCTACTTAACCTCTCTGTGCCTCATCCCTCCAGCTGTGAAACAGGAATAATACCTCATACTTCACAAAGTTATGATGAAGGTTATATGACTTAATAATTGGAATTTCTTAGAATCGTGCCTAGGACAAAGTAAATGCTAAGTGGTCTAAGTAAAATTACATCAAAGGGTTTCCGTGACAGGATTATACAGATATAAAATAATACCATTATCATTTAGAAACGTGAATTTAGAAGACAAAGTTGTGAAATGATGAATTTGGAAGACAAATTTTTGTCTTTCTTTAAAGAAAAGACAAATGACCCACAGAAAAGTGAGGTTCCCGGGCCTCCCTGGTGGCCCAAGGGGTCAAGTCTCAGCACTATGAAGCTGTCCACAGCCACTGCAGCACAAATTCCATGCCCGGCCAGGGAGCTACCCACATGGTGCAGCAGACCTCTCCTGAATCACCTGATGCTCCCCTCAGCAGTGTATTTCAGTAGATCCACCTGTTCTGCTCCCCACTCTGCCTCTGGGGAATCCTCTCACCCCCCACCACCCCACCCCCACCACCTCTGGCCTGCACCCCTGCTCTTGTATGCATAAATAAAATAAATCTTAAAAAGGGGGGGGGGCAGTCCCTGCCCGCTAACACACCACCAGGGTCATACCTACCGCCCAAGTTGCTGACAGAATTAGATGACCAAAGAAGTGCCTGCCACAAATTGGCGATCTTATGCTAATTCTCTCCCCCTCGACTCCCTACATCTTCCCCCCATTACTCTGCATGCAGCAGCTGCTCATTACCAGCCCGGCATCCGCAAGTGAATGGGATCAAGGCACACAGCCCGCAGAAAATCCACATTCTTTCCCGGGCTGTCCAACTTTCAGCGCGGCTCCTAGAGGCGACTCCATCGCCAGTCCCCAAATGTCTCTCTAAACTAGTCAAAAACCAAAATCCCCTACGGTGCAAATCAAAGGACGCGCAGGAGTCATACCCTGACCGGAAAAACTGGGACCCGGACGGAAACTGCCCTGTCTCTTGAGGTCGAAAGGCAGGGAGAGCCCCACAAACAATCGGGGTGCGCGCTGCGGGCTTGTTTTGCTCACTCTCTCCGCTCAGTGACCTCTAGCTTCCAGGCCCGAGTCTGGGGGAGGCCTGCGCGCCCGAGGCGGGAGCGAGGTGCCCTCGAGGTCAGCTGCCCAGTTCGGGCCACCCCGGCCCGCCGGCCGCCCCCGCCCGCCGCCCCGCACCTGCCCGGGCACCTGCTCGACGGGCCGGGCGCGCTCACCTGTGCGGGGCTCGCAGCGTAGCCCCTCCCGGGGCGCGGGCCCTGGAGCCCCCCGGCGGCCCCCGGCGCCCGCCGCCAGAGGCCCGGCGCCCCGCGAAGGGCGGCGATGCAGCGGATCGCAGCCATCCGGCCGCCCGCCGTGCGCACGTGCAGACTGGCCCCGCCGCCTGTCCCCCCCGGCCAGTGGCCGCCCGGCGCCCGGCGGGGCAGGGCGGGGCGCGGGGCATGTCGGGAGTTGTAGTCCCCGCGCGCGGCCGGGCCGGGCAGCGGGCGGGGCCCGGAGGGGCCGGGAGGCGCAAAGTCTAGCCGCTGGGCACACCCCGATTTGGGGCGGGCGGTGACTGCTCGCCGGTGCTGCTGCGTACTTCCTGCGACCTGCGTTTCAGGCCCAAGTCCCGGCTCTCTCAACCCCCGGCGACTTTCAGGGAGAAGAGAAAGGATGTGCAGGCATCTAGGAACGTGACTGAAAGTGGGGTGTGCGTCTGCTGGGCTTAAGCAGCCGGTTCAGCCACCGCTGTGGTCACCTGCAGGTCTGCATTCCTATGCAAAGGTCAGAACTGTCCAGTCACAGGCATAGGAGCCAAACCGTACAAGGTGCCTTTCATGTCAATCAAGAGCAGAAAGCTTGATCACTCTGGGAAGGGTGTGCATCGAGAGGTGTGACCCGGAAAGCCAGGGGTGCTGAGGATGGATGCATAAACTTACTCCAGGCTCATGCATCATGAGGTATGACCGGGAACGCCCCGGGGGGCCGATGTATGACAAGGGACCCCAGAAGCTGATCAGTGGAATGCCTTGTTGATAAGACTAGGACCGTGGGGGGGGGATGTCTGGGTCTAATTTCCATGACAACACTTGGTCGTCAAGCTGACTCGTGTCCCCCCAAGCCCTAGATAACATTCCTGAGTTTCACCATCCTTTTCTCCTTGTCCTCCTAACACACGTAGCTGATGCTCTATGGTTATTCTAGCCATAAAAAACGGCCGGGATCTTGCAGCATCCTGCCCTGTGCAGCCTGCTCCATGACTCCCAAGTCTTTATCAGTGTGGTGTTGCCCCACGCAACAGAAGGGCTTGGGAGAGCAACCCTTTCTTTTAAAGTTCAAGTATCCTGAGTCTCACCCAGTCATCAAGGAATGCTCTTCCGGTGCCAATTATTCATCCTTGTTTTCTTTCCATAATGTTCATTCTAGTCTCCCCTTCCCCCAGGGAGCTCTCCGCTAATGCCTAAGAACAATACCTACATAAATAATACCCCCAAACTCATGCTTTTTTAAAAAAAGATTTATTTATTTATGCATACATACAAGAATGGGGTATAGGCCAGAGGTGCAGGGGGTGAGAGGATTCACCAGAGACAGAGCGGGCAGCAGAACAGGATCTACTGAAATACTCTGCTAGGGGAGCAGCAGGCCAGACAGGAGGGTCTGCTGTGTCATGTGGGTTGCTCCCTGGCTGGGGATCGAACTCTTGCTGCAGAGGCTGCAGATAGCTTCATAGTGCTGTGCTTAACCCCTTGCGCCATGAGGCACGCCCAAATAAAAAAAAATCTTTAAGCAGGAAAGCAAGGGTGTGATTTATTGACTTACCCTTAAAACCCCAACAGCTTCCTCCTTCTACTCTGGCCCCAGACTAGTGAGCTTCCTAACCCCTGCCCATGAGTGAAATGATTGCCCGGCTGTGTGGTAGTGAGATTCCAGGGGCCCAGCTCAGCTCCCACACCCTGCCAGCCTCTCTGGAGGCAGGGAGACACATCTGTCAAGCAAGATTAGAACTTGGACTGAAGCCAGGGAGAAAAGGGACAGAGGAAGTTGAAGTAATTCCCTCAAGAAGTGAGGGGCCTCCCTGGTGGCACAAGGGGTTGAGATGCAACCTATGAAGAAGCTATGTGCAGCCTCTGCAGCATGAGTTCTATCCCCGGCCAGGGAGCAACCACATGGCACAACAGACCTCTCCTGTCTCACCCGCTGCTCCCCTCAGCAGCGTATTTCAGTGGATCCACCTGTTCTGTTCCCTACTGTCTCTGGTGAATCTTCTCACCTCCCCCCACACACCTCTGGTCTGTACCCCAGTTCTTGTATGCATAAATAAATAAATCTTTTTAAAAAAGAAAAAAGGAGTGAATAACTGATGTGCACTTCCATCCTGAAAGCAAGTGTGCAGTGGGGGAGAGCTAGTGGCACCAATGACAGGGCATAGCTGAGGCACATTGGGGGAGCTGAGGGTCCTCCATGGGGCTTCCTGCACAAGTTCACCCCTGCATGTGCTCGAACTCCTCTGTCCCCCTTCTTGGAAAGCCAGGAGTCCACGTGTGCACGTTAACCCAGGGCTGAGGTCCAGACTTCCCTGTAGTCCGGAACTGTCTGGAGACCGTAGATTAGAGGCGTGAGGTCTGTCCAGGTCCAGCGAGAGCCATGGCCAGTGAGCTGGGGTTCAAACCCAGCTCAGGCGGGTCATGTGACCCTGATTTGTAGCCAGGGGGTATTTTTATTTTTTTAAATTTTTTTTTAGATTTATTTTATTTATTTATACAAGCACTGGGTACAGTCAGAAGCGCGGGAGGGTGAGAGAATTCACCAGAGCCAGAGCGGGGAGCAGAGCAGGCAGAAGGACCGAAGTACACTGCTGAGGGGAGCAGCAGGCGGCAGGAGAGGTCTGCACGCCATGTGGGACCCTCCTCTGGTGGCCGGGGAGCAGCCGGGGATCGAACCAGCGCTGCAGAGGCTGTGGGCAGCTTCGCAACCCAGCGCTCAACCGCTGCGCCACCGGGGAGGCCCTATTTTTATTTTTTTTTTTTAAAGATTTATTTATTTATACAAGCACTGGGGTACAGGCCAGAGGCATGGGTGGGGGGGTGAGAAAATCCATCAGAGACAGAGCGGGGAGCAGAACAGGCAAGACAGGAGAGGTCTGCAGTGCCATGTGGGCATCTCCCTGGCCGGCCGGGAACCGAACAGGCACCGCAGAGGCTGCAGAAAGATTCGCAGGCTGCGTTCCACCCGCTGCGCCACCAGGGAGGCCCGGGAGTATTTTTAGAGAAACTGTAAACCTCCAGGCTAAAGGCTTGTCTTGGAACCCATCCCCCAGACCTCTGCACCCCCAATCCCCAGCAGTGGAGGGGAGAGAAGGGTAGTTTCAGACATCTTGACCATCTTGACCCAAAGAACTCGGGAAGCCACCTGTCTGATCTGATGAGCTCTCCCCACAGTCACGCTCTTGCCTCCCCACACCTGCCGGTTTTCCTGCCTGTGCCATGTCCCCTGGTCCCTTCCTGTGCCGGTGCTCTCTCTGCCCCCTTACCACCTGCTCGGGGACTGCTGCCTGAGAGCGGCCAGGGCAGTCCGGACAGTCACTGTCGAGGGCCTAGCTGGCTTGTGCTCCAAGCCCGGCAGCAGGACCTCAGAGACTCAGGAAATGAGCTGGCAGCATGGCCTGGCATGCCCAGCCTGGTTCTCCCTGCCAGGCCGGCTGCTCCAGTTAGTGCATCCATGATAAACACAGGTTCATTTCTGAGAAAGAAAAAGGAAGATGGTGAGGGAAAAAGTGGGGAAAGCGATAAGACAAGATTGATGAAGGAAGTTTTGAAAGTGTAACAAAGAGATGAGTGAAGAGAAGCTGAGTGCTAAGCCTCTTGGCAACTGGAGATGCCCTATAGCCCTTGGGCTGGGCTCTGAGATTCAAAAGGGTAACTTGGGCTTCCCTGGTGGTACAAGGGGTTATGACGCAGCACTATGAAGCTGTCCGCAGCCACTGCAGCACAAGTTCGAGCCCCGGCCAGGGAGGTGACCCACATGGCGCAGCAGACCTCTCCTGACTCGCCCGCTGCTCCCCTCAGCAGTGTATTTCAGTCATCTGCCTGTTCTGTTCCCCACTCTGTCTCTGGTGAATCCTCTCCCCCCGCCATTCCACCGCACCTCTGGCCTGTACCCCAGCTCTTGTATGCATAGATAAACAAATCTTTAAAAAAAAAAAAGAATTAGAACATTTACCAAAAATAACCTTTCATCAGAGAATCCTCTCTCCAAGGCAGGGCCAACATGTCACGACAGAGCATCTGATCCTCCTCAGGTGAGTCCTGCTCCTCCCTCCTGATAGCCCAGGCTCATCCCACCCCTTAGTGAAGGATATATTCCTCATTGTGCCCCAATTCCTTTAGAATTGCTCCATGTAGATTCTCCATACAAATGTAATTAGTTCTTTTCTCCTCCTAATCCTCCGATGTTAATTTGGTGACTCAAGCACCGTGAGAGAAGCCAGAGGAGCAGGGATACTTCCTTTCTGCTCCTTAAAATGACCTTTAAATATTTGAGAAATGGTTCGTTTGATTCCTGAGAAGCACAATAATGTACTCAGATCCCTTTTCTCAGTTATCAGTTTGTCAGAAATTAAGAAGCTTGATGACACTCCATGGGCAGCGCTGGCTGGAGCAGGCCCTCCTGTCTACTGTTGGACTCTACAAGGCCTACAGAGGAAAATTTGTCAGTATCTAACAAAATCCCGTCTGTATATTCTCCTTGACCCATCAATCCCATTCTGAGATTCTGTCCCAAAGATACACTGGCAGAAATACAAATTCACTTATTCAGGAGGTTTTTCATTGTAGAATTGTAACGTGTTATCCCCCTAGAAAGGGGAGGGTGTGGGTTCCCCATCCACCTTAGGAAGGGCAGAGCAAAGCAACTTGGGGACATTAACAAGGACTTGGGGGAGAGACTTGGGAGAAGACCTGGAGGAGGCACTTGGAGCAGAGAGTGCCTGGGACTTGGGGGACATCGAAGGAGACGCCTGGGAGAGGCTCCTGGGTGAGAGACCTGTGGGGATGTTATAGGGCAGGGAGAGGGGCAGCCCAAACCCCGCAAACCTGCCTATTCTAAATGGGTTCTGCCATCCGCCGCATCAACACAAAACATAGGAGACTTAATGGGAAGGAACTTTAATAAAACTAGGAAACAATACAGGTAAGGCAAAGAGTCTAGTTTCTAAATGAAGCACCCAAAGTTACCCGTCCCCTCGTGGGTAAAAGTCCATCCAAATGGGATCGGCCCAGAACAAGGCCCCAAAGCCTGCCAAAAGTCTACAGCATCTTCCAGTGGGGACCCACAGAAAAGGGTCACAAACAACCAAACAAGCCCGGAAGGAAAAGAGCAAAATCAACATCAAGATAAAAGCTGCCATTGTCACCTCCCCACGGGTCTCACCCACATCTGTGTCACCCAGTCCACGACCAAAAGACAAGCGCAGTTTCTTCACGTGTCTCTAGGCTCCATGCGCCTCTTCCAGGTCTCCTGGCTCCATCCTGCTTCCTTCCTTCCTCAGTCTCTTCTGCCGCTTCTTCTCTTGCTGCTCAGCTCCACCCTCCCTTGGGTGGGGCAGGGAACCTCCCCCTTTCCTGGGGACCACCCTGTTGCAGGGAGGCTGATAATGGCAGCCTTTCTCTTGACTTGGATTTTGATTTTTCTCTTTTCCTTCCAGATTTGCCTGGCCCCTTTCCTATGAGTCCCCACCAGAAGGTGCCTTAGACTTGTGGCAGCTTTTAGGACTCAGTGGCCCTGCTTTGGGCCAACCCTGTTTGGCTGGGCATTTACCCATGAAGGATGGGTAACTTTGGATGTTTGATTTGGAAACTAGATTCTTTCTCTTCTCTCTATTGCACACTATTTTTATTAAAGTTTTTCTATTTTGGGGTCTCCCTGGTGGCGCAGGGGGTTAGGACACAACCTATGAAGCTGTCCCCAGCCACCGCAGCGAGTTCAATCCCCCAGCCGGCCCGTGAGCAACCCACATGGCGCAGCAGCAGACCTCTCCTGACTTGCCTGCTGCTCCCCTCACCAGTGTATTTCAGTCAATCTGCCTGTTCCGCTCCCCACTCTATCTCTGGTGAATCCTCTCACCCCCCACACCTCTGGCCTGTACCCCAGTTCTTGTATGCATAAATAAATAAATCTTTAAAAAAAAAGTCAAGATCCTATACAATGTACATGTGTATTCCTACCCTTTGTGTAAGGAGTGGGGGGCACACAAATATATTATACACATAATTTTGTTCCCAAACATCTATGGCTATGGTTTCTTTGGAAAATATAATTAACACGAAAAATGAATACGCATCTAGTTCGTTCCATTGAGAGTAACACCAAGCCAAAGATCATGCCTAGTTATCCTTTTTAATCTTCACAACTCTGTGCAGTTACCTGCTGGCCTTTGTGCTCTGCCACTCCCTTCTACAGCAAGTTAAAGGCTGCCCACACAGGGAGCTGAGGCCAGAGGAAAAGCAGGGCTTGGGCAGGAAGGCCACACCCAACCACAGCCCTCTCTATCTGTGTCTGCTGGAGCCTCTGCCTCTGAAGGAGCAGGCACTGGTTTTATCTCCTGCTAAAGCTGGGACCAGTGTGAGATACGGAAGCTTGGCCTCTTCGATCTGACCTAGTTAGCCTAGGGCAGGTGTCCCGAGGAAAGCGTCTTCCTCAGCAAAGTTGCCTCCTGCTTGCCGCTCTTCTCTGCTTGCTGTCTGCCTCCCCAAGGCCACTGACCTTGCCAAAAGAAGCTAGTTAACAGCAATATTCTGGATTTCTCCTGCCTTTGCATATAATGTCGCAGCCCTGAATGGTGCCACTCTGCCTTCCAGGATAAATCACACACAGTATTGAATATTTACTGAAAAAAGTGAACAAATTGGAAAATTTTGGTTAAAAAGAAAAAAGTGTAGCTTTCCAGCCTATGATACCTGATTGCCCTGCTCCCCGCCTGCTTCCACAAAGCTAAATTCTCATATTTTAGCTTATTACACAAGCCATACTCTACTTCCAGATGATCCATATACTATGTTCTATTTCAGCTAAGATTGGGTGCAGTTGTGGAAACATAAAATCCAAAGGAACAAAAGTTTCAACAAAATAAGAGTTTCTATCTCTCGTGTGTGACTAAAGTCTGGGAGGAATGGTGAGACAGTGTCACAATCCAGTCTCCTTTAATCTGATTTCTCCACACACACCGTCAACATAGAGCTTCAACTTCATGGCTTAGGATGGCTGCCTGAGCTCCAGCCATCATGTCCACCCTCCACCTAGGCAGAGGGGATAGAAGAGAGTTGGTTTCTTTAAAGACATTTCCCAGAAATTATACACACACTCCCACTCTCTCACCATTAATCACAGCTAGTCATATGAACACACATACCCACAAAGGACACTGAGAATTACAGCCTCATTCCAGGCGGCCATGTGCCCAACTAAGAATTAGTGTGCTAGTTCTAAAGTTAAGGGGGTAACAAATATAGATAACAATAGCAGGTTCTGCCACATTTCTCCTGAAACAGAGCATAAGACAAGGAGCAGGACCTCTCATCTCAGACCACCAGGCGTGGCTGCCCACTTGTCCACAACAGGAGATTTCTCCTCTAAGATTAACTTAAGGTTTGATTTTTATTCAAAAGGATGACATCGCCCTACCCTCCATCCACTGTTCCTAAGCCTTCCCATACACCATGGTTTCTCCCTGTAGCATTAGCTCTTCCTTAAGAGCATAGAAATGAGGGGCCTCCCTGGTGGCTCATGGAGTTAAGCATCAGCACTATGAAGCAATCTGCAGCCTCTGCAGTAATGAGTTCAGTCCCCGACCAGGGAGCTACCCACATGGCACAGCAGACCTCGCCTGTCTCGCCTGCTGCTCCTCTCAGCAGTGTGTTTCAGTAGATCCACCTATTTTGCTCCCCACTCTGTCTCTGGTGAATCCTCTCACTCCCCGTACCTCTGGCCTGTACCCCAGTTCTTGAATGCACACACACACACACACAAAAGGGATAGAAATGGCAAAGCCAGAAAGGACCCTAAGAAATTGCCCCAAGTGTTATAGAGCAACCCCCATATTAAACGGGTTCCTGGCTGTGGGTCCTCACCCGCGCGCTTTAAAGGGACTTATGAATACTCTACTACAGACACACGCCAAAGGGTTAATAAAAGGTTTATTTACAAGAGAAAAAGAAATAAGGAAAATATACAACTCAGGGAGAAAATAGGGAAATAAAGTCTTTAATGCGTCCTACCCGATCCGACGACCTGGAAACCCAAAGTCACTCTCAGAGCTGGCCGGACGCTGCGAGCTGGCGGAGAGCCAAAATGGAGAGAGCCCCCCAAAGCCCACGTGTCTGCCTTTTGTATCCACCTGGCTGCTGAACCCCACCCTCAGGTCCCAGCCACCTTCCCTTTGGTGGTGATGGGATTTGGAGTTCCCAGTGTCTTTGCTTTGGCCTGGGGTGGGGGTGGAGTCCACAAAGCCTGTAGGGAATTAGCTTTGGGACATCCTTTTCCCCCTAACAATTCCCCCCTTTCACTTGTTGCCACCATTTCCATGGTGATGAAGATCGAATATATGGAGGTTGGGATGCAGTCTCAGATGAACATTTTGTCAGGTTCCAGTGTGAAAGAAAACCAGTCTCTCCAGGTATTTATCTATTGTGGAAAGCAAAAGTCCTCCACTCCAGGAAAAATAGTTCATCAGTTTAAGCAAAAAAAAAATCTGGAGGCGTTAGCCAAAACAAGACAGCAGATATGTAAAAATTACAGGAAAAAAAAATCTTAAAATGGTTCAACTGATGTAAAAACACAAATTTTCTCAACCTTGATCCCAAACTTTTAACAGCAAAGCAAAAGTTTGCAAACTAAATCTACTTTTAAACCATTTTTCCTATTTTTGCATAAAATCACAGGGTAGAAATAACTAACAGCAATTTTTTAGCTGGCTTTGTTGAAATACTCCATACAGGATCAGAGCGAACCGGTGGCATCCAGTCGATGTATGCTTCAGGTATAAAGTTGGACTCATCAGACTCCACCTGGGCTTTCCTCTTCTAGAGGGTACCAGGGGTTTTTCATTTGCCGGGCTGTCCAGTCCTGCCAATGGAGGCAAGCTTCCTCACCTTCTTTGGAGGTCTCTGGAACCCTACAAACAAGGCAAACAGGTTCTCCTCTTCTTGGTTCAGCTCTTATTCAACTTTCTGGAAGAACTCCACACAAAGCCACACAATCAAACTCACGTCCAATTTTTTTGTTAAAACAGACAAAATCCCTATGGAAGTTATGCAAAAACAGACTCTGAAATAAGTAGCAAAAATTACTACCACTATTTGTATGCTGTGTTGGTATCAAGGGGAGAGAAAATGTGACAAGTTAGTTTTGCTGGAAAAAAAAATTGCAACCTTTCTGCAGATCCTGGTTACTCAAAACAAAACAACACAAAACAAAAACTTCGTGGATTCAGGACAGAATGCATAAAAAATTTCCAGTATCATGTCAAAGAAACCTTAGTAAATGTCAGGTGTATTTCCAGGTCTATTCAGTCCTTTGTAGGAAAGTTTTTTACTCTCAACAGTTCCACCAATAGGAATCTGTTGAGACCTTTT